GAGCCACATGGGACCCTGTTCCCGAAGGCTGAAAAATCAAATAATTTTCAGGCAGACAGCAGGTATAGTAAACCAGAGCAAAGTAAAGGGCTGGCGGAGGCTGTATAACCTTCCACCGGCTTGAGGCAGTGAGACCAAAGCAGTTAGGACTAAGGCAACACCTGCGGATCAGAGCCACGGCCTTGTGCCAAGCTACCGCAGCCTCTGCGCTGCCTCCTTAGTCTGTCCAGATAAGCGCAATGTACACTTGCTAAAAACCCATCAGAAATGGCAAAAAGCCTCCCCCATCCATCTGGCAAAGCTGCAATCAAGGAAAGAAACCAGATTCTGTTTTTTCCTCAGGAGCAGCTGTTGATTTGGGGCTGTTTGGGTTTTTTCCTCCCAACAGTGCAAGGCAGACCGAGTATTTTGTCTTCTATAACAGAAATTAGATTTAAATTAATGGCAAAGGCACACACTGCAACCTGTTTATAAAATATTTTACAGCACTTTAAAGGTACTTTCCAGGCTACTGCAGACTCACAGCATGTTCACTGTTTGCATTTTCATTAATTTCACATAAAAATGAATGAAAACTGTGAATGAGACAGGTTACCTATTTGGGCCAGAAATTTATCAGACGGGAGAAAAATCTGACCTAATTTATCCTTGCATTATTATTATGAAATTAAGGGCAGTAATTAACTTGTTACATGCTTTTTAGAAAGGATAGAGTTTCAAATGCCAATTTACTGTGGGTATGCAGAGGGATTTATTGCTGTAAGAGCACCACAAGTACTGACAGTCCCCTAAAGTTATTTATAATAAAACACTGCACTTTGAGAGAAATTACTTCATACGTTGTGCTATGGCCTGTCATCCCAAGAAGTGGGTTCTAAGGGCCAAAGCAATGCTTCCCACTTTTCCTAGGAGTGTTGAATGGTGCTGCGTTACCTTTTCCTTCTCTTCTGGTGTTTCTCTGGCAGGGAAGGATCTTCACTTACTGTAGTTGTTCTTAAGGAATATACTGCAGGCTTCATCAGAGCCAAGGTTTTAAAAGTTTTAATTAGCTTCAGCATGACTAAAGCTTTGTATCTAATAATACTGAACAGACTTACAAACTGTGCAAAAATTTATTGTAATAGCGCACAGTATCTTTTCTACTTTTCACCATAAGGTTTCTAAGGATTCTAAAGGATTCTAAGTAAGAAGATAATAAATTTAACAGGCCAAATGTGATAACAAACATACCATTTATTTCAATATGTAAAATGTGAGTAGAACAAACCCTGGAGATTCTTTACCTTTTTCTGAGTTTCAGCTATGAAATAGCAATAGCAAATTCAGTTGTGAATACCTCTTATCCCAGAACAGGGAACTTGTCAGACACTTAAAATGAGAGGTAACAAAAGCAGCAACATGCTTACTGGAAACTTGCAGCCACACAGAGGTTGTTCAGAAATGAAGATGGATTCATGACCTGTGCTGTCACTGGGAATAGGGAGTCAAAGCGTTCTGCCAGCTGGCAGGGATCAGAAACAGCCTTCCCGGGCACCACGGCTTTCCCCATCACCTCTAGGCCTACAAGCACTGCCTCAGAGAGGAATTTAATGGAGCTGCTACTGCTGCTCCTGTTTTCTAAGACCACCTTGTGCTCAGCATGTCATGTTTCAGTTCTGCCTACGTGTTGGCCTGGCCTAAAGCTCAGGTACGTTCCCTAGCTCAGTGTGCCTTGCTGCGCAGTGTACATGTATATACACATCCTTGGAGCCTGTACAGAGGGAACTGCTACACTGCACCCACGCAACACTCCTTTTGCAAAAGCCTGACTCTGAGTTTTGCAGGGACGGATCCACACCACCCACCTGCTTTTCCCTACATCATTTTCAGGTGAAAGACTGAACAAAATACTTCTTCCCCACCAGCACCCCCACCACGCCCCTGCCTGCCCTGTTAGCCTTATCTTATCCTTGGGGTCTTTGCACCCATCTGCCATCAACTGCCTCTTCTGGTAAGTCATGGAGTGCAACACAAAGTAAATGTAGCTCTTAACAACAAAAAAAGCCAGAGATGACACACACCGGAAGACGGTATCTTCTTGGGTCTGTGTCTCCAAACTTCTAGTCATTCTGTTAAACCAGAACCTGGACCTGTTCCATTTCTGAAAACTGCTTTGACAGAAATTACATTTTGCCCTTGTCCAGCTTTGACGAGTTCAGAAGCAACAACAGAATACAGAATTTTGTCAAATAGCCAGAAAACTGCAAAGAATATAATTGCAAAAATACAGGTTATCGTTGGGATGGAAGGGCACATTGCAACTGCACCATTTACCCCTTTCCTGTACCGTTTTTTTCGTGCAGTTCTCCCGTGTGACCACCCGAGGGCAGCTGGGCTTCACAACAAACCCCACAAAGCAGGAATATGCCAGAAACCTCATGCCTCCCCTAGACAGCGGCCTGACAAAATCTTGGTTTGTGAGGTCCTTTTCAAAATTCTGGAGGCACAGCCGTCTTGCCTGATAAGCGTTAGGTAAAGAAACCCAAATTCTTAGCACTTAGCCATTTTCTATGAGGCATACAACTGGAGAGATAAGGCAAGCGTACCAGGGCTAACCCTGGGCATCGGGCAAGTACTCGAGTGGTATGTTGTATAGAAATGTTTTTTTAAAAAGAAAATAGAGATCTCATTGTTTCTAAAATGCCTTCAATTCAGGTGTGGTTACACAATCGTTTTAAAAAGCAGCCTCTGACTCACAAAGGCAGGCTAACTCTCGGAGGATCAGTCCCATGGTTCTCCCTGTGTAAGGGGCGGGATGCCAGCATTCAGCCGCCTGCAGAGGAGCCTAGAACCTGCGGCTGCCCCCCGAGCTAACAGACCTGCACCGAGGAGGATGAAAAACGTAGGAGCCCACAGCTCCGGAGGACAGCACCCCTCATGGCCGCTCTGTGTTCCTCTGCAATTTAACCACGTCTGTGACTGAAGCCCCGAAAGGCTCATTTGGCAAGCACCAGCGCGAGAAGGTGACAGCACAGCTGACGGCAAACCTTTAACCCTGCATTCGCAGCCAGCCCACAAAGCTCCAGTTTGACTGTGATGGGCTCTCTGCAGCCAGAACCACCGGCTGGGCTGTGGCTACTGCAGCACTCGGGGCTGTGCTGGTCCTCACAGCCCTGCGCCAACATCTGGTTCCTGCGATGAAACCTTGCTATGGCAACTCCGTCCAGATGATACCATCTGGGGGCTAAAACAAAATCTACCCACCTGACGTGACACTGCAACTCGGAAAACACTGCCACAGCTTGGTAAAACTCTGGAATCAACTCGCCCTGATAAGGAACACCAGCGTCAATCTCCTCTCCTAACTGAAGGCCCAAGTGATAATGGGAGATGATAATGCAGAGATTTCAAAGTTCAAACTCTAAGTTAATTTTGTCCCCAAAGGAGAGGAATCAGCAGTAATATGCCCACATGTCTTTCAGTAGGTTGTAAGAGAGGATGGCAAATCCAAGGGACACCCAGTGCCTGTAGCTGAAAGGTGAAAACAAGTTTTCACAGGATGGTATATGGCCAAAGAGGCTTTTCATTCCTTACAGGGTACTACCCCCAGCCCCCATCAGCACAACAGCTGATCACTGGCAGCTGGACAACGAAAGGACGGCCATCCAGACCCTGACTTCAATCCCAGACTGAGTCAGGTACCGCAACCGATGAACCTTCACCATCGGAAAGAGGTAAAAATTCCAGACCCAGCACAGTATTTTTTCCCAAATTTGGTCCTGAAATAAACAAGGGACACACTACACAGGGTGGAGGGATATTCCTGACACAGGCATTAGGCCTAGACGTGGCATTCAATCATATATTAAATAAAGTTGCAGCCTGTCTTTTAAGTTCATATCACATCAGTGTCATCTCCTTTCATAATGTCCAAGCCAGAGATGTGTTCTTCCTTCACCTTACATACCACAAAACAATCTTCAGAAAAACAATGAACTTCATACCACAATTATGATGTGGAAAAAATAGTCACCAGAACATCCAAGATGGTATCTTGGATCTTGACCTGATAACTTTCATGGGGAGTTACTATTTTATATTTATATAAACCTTTACTAGTATTTGGTCACCTGTTATTTCACATGAGGAAAGAAAACAACTCTTTTATAGGAAAAAAAATGCCCATTAAAAGAAAAAACCACAGGTTGAAACAAGCTTTAGAAAGCAGTGTTGTTTCCTATAACGATTTTTTACTTGTTCATCTCTTTCCTTTTTTCTCCCAACACAAGAGCTTGTTTCAGTGATACCAGCATTCACATTAGATGGGGAAGGCCAAAACATCATTTCAAGCTTTCAAGATTTGTGCTTTTCTTTGAACAGCAGCACTGGGAACATTAACTTCAGTTGTTTTGCAAATGCAGGAGTAGGAACTTTAAGACAATATTCATAGTAAGATTTTTACGGTGAGCTATTTCATTAACTCCCTGTTTCTTCTAACAGATAATTAAGACACACACAGCAGTCTTGCCCAATTCAGGCCCTCCTTGAGGGCTACAGCTGTACTCCTCATGCAGGTCCCCATTTCTAACCCACAAATACACCAAGACCGCATATTGGTCAGCCCCCATCCAACCAATGCATAAATGTTACCCAACAAGCCACGGACCTCTGCTGCTGGGAAAATGGAGAGAAAATGGTTGCTGCTGAGTTTTATACATACATGGCTTACTGCCAGACTGCCAATGCTGCTTTGTTTTTTTCTCAAATTTGACAGGCCTGGATTCAAATGTCCCATCAAAGATCTGAGACAGAAGATCCCAATACAAGTGAAATTATCTATGATCTGGAGACTGTGCAGTAATGAACATTCATCCAGATTGAAATGAAACTGGAAATCCAGGAACACAGAACATTCTTCTAAAACAGTTTAATAAAAAAAATTGTGAAGTTTCTTGAAAAATTGGAGAAACCCAAAGCATATCGTGTGTGTCACCTGTCTTAGTCACAAAGAAACACAATTGTCAAAAAAGATATTTAAGTTTAATACAAATTTTATACAAAGAAAATGTGAAAAAATACTTCCATATGCTAAAAGCAATTATGCTTCACAAATAAGGCCAGCTAGGCTATTTTTGACACAACTGCAATTCACGAATATTCTGTTCTCGCTTTTTTTCTTCTAATACTTTTTTCCCTCTAATATGGGTACTAGCTGGAGACTGTACAAACCGCATTCTTTTATAAACAATGGGAGAAATCAACATGACTAAAATGTACAACAGAATGTACTGGAATGATATCATACAATTAATTTTCTCATATACATACATCACCTTTGCTTTGTTCAATGCTTTCGTTTTACACAACATACAAAATGGTACTACAGTATAAGTGTAACAGACAGCATTTTCATGGGTTACTTTCTCTCATACTGTACTGTTTCATGCTTACATAAAAACATAAATTCCATCATATAAATAATACATGCTCTGGCCCAGCATCAAAAGTCCTTTGCCCATGTTTCCAATTCATGTTTTTCTCCACACCTAGTTCTTGTTCAAAGTCCTTTTGGAGGATTTTTTTTAAAAAGAAAACTGAAGAAGCACCGGAACAAACTTAACTTTTTTCAAAACTTTGTTATCAGTGATCAGAAATCATGCTACAACCAGCTGGTATTACACTTTCCAACTTTTCTGATATTAGACTGAATGAAATTTTAACTTAATTTTAATCTGTAAACAACATAAATTTTAACAGTCTGGTCATTGTGAAAACAATGTAAATCTTTATGTACTTCAGGCTCACAGATTTGAAATGTTGTAATTTGCCTAATACAATTAACTGAAAAAAGATAGCCTTCATCACTTGGTTGCTCAAGGAAATTCTACAAGAGTTTCAAAGTGCAGAAATTTTTTTCAATCCAAATGCAAATCAAGTCGTTCAGATTCTCATTATTACATTGTTTGATGCGTAACTGCAGTTTCCCAAGACCAGTTTTCAGTGTTAGCTTGTGATAAGGCTGTTTTAAACCTTCCTTTTCCAACTTCAAACGCTCTTTATAAGTTAAAGTCAATACAAATATAAAAAGGAGATGGTACTCTAATGACATCCACAAATTGTACATTATTTACAAAAGAAGCATAGATTTAATATGGATCTTACCTGTCCTCAGCTTTTCTAAGCCAGCGCTAATGCTTTACATTAATGTAGTGTAGTTAATGCTTTGTACACATATACAAAGCTAAAGTCTGAACCTTTGAGGTTAATCCAAAGAACTGTGTTTATTTTTCACATTTCTATTAGACTTATTTATTCCAACAATTGTATGGACTTCTTGTTAGCAGTTAGACTCTTCGTACTTGGACTGGCATTGTGGTCTGAACATACTGAACTCCAGTTCTCATTGCCACTGTCCCAGCAGAAGGACTTACCACTACAGGAATGGTCTGTGGATTAAAACCAAGAGAAACATATTGTTATGTTAAAGGTCACATAAACATGACCACAGAAATAGAGATTTATTTTCCAGGGAAAATCCAGAACAAGTTCCAATTTTGTGCAAGAATTAATACCTTTATTACCGCAATATTACCTCATTCCAGGGTAGAAGGTAGTGTATTACTTTTCTATAGCCAAGAGCTTTTCTGTATTGTTATTACTACTACATAATTACAGGGACAGGTGGTCCTATAGGTACTGTACACACTCTGTCTGTGCTTGGAGAGTTAGGTTTTCATACTTACATCCAGTTATGTATTTTCCCCAAACTAAACACATGGGAAGAGGAAATAGGGCTAAGAAAATCCTTTGTCATTTGAAAAAGTTTTGACAAAACAAACTGGAGTACAAAAATACCCTTGCTTATAAGTATATTCTTGTTACACATTACTTAAATCTTTTTCCCCAAAAGGAACTCCCCCATGCATTCAGTCTACACAGAAGAGAACAAAGAACATCCATTTGAACAAAAAAAGTACTTAACTTTTGCACAAATCAATAACAAAAACATCAGCATTACTGGGAATTGTCTTATACACCCTGTAAAAATATTAATATAGAATAAACTTTTCACTTCCATCATACAGATTGTGATTTATAAATCTCGACAAATGAAGTTTCAGGACATCTCTATAGGTGGGAATTGATTCTACAGATGCAGAGACAAAGGCACAAGAATGTTAAACAATCTGGTCAAGGTCACATCACTCTGGAAGATCTGGAAAAGGATTTATTGAATCTTAAGTCTGTATCTTAACCTTCCTCCAAAAAATGCGAGAAAGTCTAGAAATGTCTATACCATACAAACTGCAAGTATGTTTTGATACAATTCCAGTGATGCACAACTGCTGATCAAACAAATGCATCCATTTCAGTTCACAATATTTTGTGGAAGAAACAGGAAGTGAGATTTTGAGGACTCTGAAAGGGATGCACAGATCTTCCCCCTGATGGCAGTGTGACATTCCAAAGAGAACACGGAAGAAGAAATACAAGTTCACTGCAGCCCAGTGTTTCCCCACACTGTTTTAAGAAACCACATTAGTGTCTTAGTGGTATTCAACAGAGATTGTGAGTATCCCTACTGAGATGGATTACAGCCTAGAGTCTTTATCGGCTCCTTTGTGACAAAGTCTGTGCCTTCCAGAAGCCTACTCTTTCCATTCCCTGGAATGCAAAGACGATGAATTCGTATTTGTACATTATTTTAACTGCAGAAAGAATAAAAACCAAACATGGAACCAATCTGCTAAATAAATTCAAGATTACTGCCATTTTGTAATGATTTCAGATGTGTAGAGGGTTCATTGGAAATGGTACCCAGAAGATACACTGGAAGTTGTTCAGAGGAAGAAATTCCTAGTCGGACACAAAGTGCAAACTGAACCCTAAAGAAGCCATTATGTAAGTCACTGTTAGTACTACAGGTGGGGAAATTAAGGTTGCCACAGTCGCCTTTCAAATATACACACTTACACAAATGGAAAAAAGAAAAAAGTTTCAGTTCTTACAGCGATCGGGATATGGAATGTGCGAGACTCCTTAAATGTGTTAAGATCATTCCCTGAGAGGTAAATTTTCCACCTCTGCCAGTTTTACACATATGTACATTTTGCATACACATTAAACATGCACTAAGGTTTAAAATTATTTAAATTGCACGTGCAGTCATTAGAATACAGAGGTGTCTGTAGCTGTGCAAGACTAATGCAAATGTGTACAAAGTTTTAAACATGCACAAATAGAGGTTGAAACCTTTCAGACGTTCCAATTATGCTTTACATAACTCAATACACTCCGTATTACAGAAAACCAATGAAGGTAACTGCCATTTTTCTGAGTATTACACAAAACCACCTTGTGATCTTACAACCTCTCAGCTATTCACAAAAGAGCCTAACGTCCTTGATTTTTGATTTGATTTTGCTATTTGATTTTAAAACACATATAAAACCTTATTGTTATGGTAATTCAGTCCAAGCAACTTAGGGCCAATGCTGCAAAGGTGCACAGTGCTCTCAGTTGAGACAAAATGAGTTAAAACGCTGCTAGGAATGTGAAAAGTCATGATCCCCACGAAGAGCAGTAACATTTGTGTGGAATAGAATGGCTATGAAATACTGTCTGTATGTGCGCGTGTGGTCACTGACACACACACACACAGGTGTGTATCCTGCAGCTAGGGCGGGGGGTCTGCACACACCTGGGTGTGTGCACACAGCGAGAGAGAAAGACAGAGCGACTTCTATAGCAAATTAGGCCTCACAAGCACAGTGACATTAAGGTACACTGTTCCATTAGTACATAGTTACTATTATAAATTATCTAACTTCAGCCAGAAAATTAACCAAAGTTACCCAGACACGAGCTTCTCTGTCACCCCCGCACTGAGACAGAGCATGCCATTCCACTGCCAGTGCAGTATCAGCATATTTCCTTTTGGTAAGAAGAAGGTCAGCACAGATGCCATGCTGACTCTGAAGTAAGCACTGCAGAATGTGACCAGTTGAAATAGTGGGATATTGTGATGCATAAAATACAGGAGAAAAAAAAAAAATAATCTAACTCACTTCTGTCCCATCTCCTGTGACTGACACTAGGGAATTCAAGTGTCCTTGGTTAAGTCTTCGATGGAAAAACCCAGGTCTGATTCCAATTCTATTTCTCATAATTTCATAACACTAATGTGCAAGACTGCATGGGATATACACTACTGATGAATGCATATTTTCTTTCATAGTTACTGAGATGTCACAGGAATATCAAGCATAGCTCAGAATTAATTAAAACTCTTTAGGATACCATAGACAAAAGATATTTAAAAGATATTTAAAATTAATTCTATATATTTACATTGATCTTGTGGTCAAGTATATACATGAAACAGACAAATAACTAACAATAATGTAAAATGGAAGTCTGACTGTCCTCAGTGCCTTTGTTATACTTAATGACAATTTCTGAATCCTTGTAATAATGAATGACGAAATGAAAGGGTGGAATGTTGCACAGCAAAATAAGTCATTTTGCACTGCAAGTTGAGACTATACCAGTGAATTCATATCTTGATAGAACAGCAGACGGAGACAACCCCCCAGAAATAACTGAGCAATTTTAATGCCAGGAACAGTACTACTGCAGACTTTAAATGATGATATTGTACTTACAATTGTGGGTTGAGTAGTTGGAATATAGGTGGTGGTCTGCGGTACCTGGACCAGTTTTATAGGCTGGTTGCTTGTCACACCTGTTGCTATCTGCAGAGACAGCACAGGCAACCTCAGTAGAAGTCTCAGCTTTTACATAAATTCCACCTAGTTGTTATTATTATTATAATATGAAATTTATGTTGGATGTTTTGTTTGTGTTAAAAATTTGCATCTTAATGAATTCACAGGTTACTTTTTTGTTAATAAAACAAAATTCAAATTATGAACATGATCAATGTATACAGCATGATGTTTCAGGTAGAACATCTATGTGAAAGCAATTCCAGGTTTGTATAACTGGAATATTCCCTGGCAAAAGTTTTAGGTAACTGATTTTCTCCCATCCCCTCTTTCCCCAGTAATATAAAGGTTGTGCTGCCACAAACAATGCGCATGAACACTGAATGAGCCAGAGTTTAACTACCTTCACCAAAGCATTCATGTGGAACAGCACATCCTTTTTCCCTCTTCAAATCTGTTTCCCAAGTTACTCCCTTAGATGACATGTCAAGCCCAGAGGTCTAACACCAGACAGTAGCAAAAGTGTCAAGAAATGAACACAGCTCTCTAGTTTACTATGCTTCCCAATTCTATAGAACTATCTCAATGAGACATCATGCTGGAATCACAATACTACAAAATTAGTTTGCTTTAATATCTTAAAATACAACAAGGCTCCTACTGATGTGGGGGATCATGTGTTAAGGGTTTGAAGGATCAGCCCCCCCATAAAATTTTTCATTTAATAAATCTTGCAAGGGCAGAAGAAAAACGATGCTGAAATTGCTAATAGTCAAGCCCTACCTATAAAGCAGAATCTTCTCTATAAACATTTTCTATATATGCAATGTTAAGTCCCTTTTATTAGAGCATTTGCTCATCCTTGCCTACTGGATACTATCAGAGTAGATGCTATGGAGGATTTCGTAACTGCACACTGCTCCGTTAACTGTAGATCCAGGTGAATTGTTGTATCAGTGTTATGGAACATTGTGGTACCCTAGTGGCAGTCTGTTGTGATAAAGTAAGTTGATCTGAATGCAGGTCTTGAGCTTGGCCTCTGAACCCCCAGGCAAGAAGGGCTTGGAAGTGCTGCAGTCAGTATTGCTTATCAGAAGGCAACTTGTATCGAAAGATCCAGACCAGAAGCTACACTGATGGGTCCTGGAGAGAGAGAGAGAAAGAGGTCCAGTCCCCTTTGGCTGGAAGGATGAGTCAAGCCAACACAAGGTTTTATTGGGAATGAGTGAAGGGGAAAGGGTTTATCCCAGAGGACAGAAGGAGATTTTTTTTGCCAAGATGAAGAAAAAAAACCACAACTCCCTATCTCACTCCCCAAATCACACTCTTTGAAATATGCAAATGGTCATAAATTCCTGGCTAATCCAGGGAGGCCTTTAGGGGTAGGTTTCACAGACATCTTACATATGATTTTTGTTTAGAGTGACCACAACGATACTCACTGTAACACTCTCTTTGCTTTTATCAGTTGAACCTTCCTTTTCCTTAGGGGTGCTGGCTGTTTCTGTGGGTGTAGGCTGCACACTTGAACTGGGCTGGGATGATTTATTTAATGTTTCTGTGCTGATTTCTGTATCTGTTTCTTGCTGTGTTGCAGTAGCTAAAATAAAGGAAAAAAGAGAAAGTAGCCACTACTCATGTGTATCAGTCCACAGACGCTCTTCAGAGGCACATCTGCACCCATGCAAATACAGAGTGTTCAGTCATTGTGTATTCCACCCACCTGAACCCCTCAGCGTGAAACAGACAACCCAGAGCAAGATTACCTGACTGTGTGCAAGATTTCATATGCTCAGGCCAGTGAGCTTGTTGGCAGGGATAGTCACAGTAGCTAGTATTCCAACAACAATAAAAAATGGCCTCTTTCTTGCAGTTAGCACACCACTGCTTCTTTTTAGTTTCATCCACTGCTTGCTGCTTTTCCAATTCCAGCTGCTTCTTCACCTCAGCAATCAAACGATCTCGTTCCTGTTCTAGACTCTGACGCATTTCAGCCATTGTCAGTTCTACTCAAAATGCAAAGAAAGATGAGTTTTGCATTTTCTGTCCCCCAAGAGCAGAGTGCAAAAAATAATTTCATGAGTTTAAGGACAACATGAAATTAAAACTAACAATCAACTACTGCCTGAGTTTGGGCATCTGTTTCATACCTACTCAACAAATTAAAGTCTTCCATCTTCTTTTCTTATTCTGGCACCATTATTTTTACCCTTAACCGTTACAATTTGTTTAACACTTTAGTTCTAGGTGTCCCACAAAGGATCAGAATCCATGTGCAGCATAAACACAAAAAGGAGGTATGCAGCCGCTGCTAACATACTTTGTCTTTACAAGCCCAAATTTTTGTTCTGCTCCAATATTCAGAAAATACACAGAACTGTATCTCTTCTTATCTAATAAATAAGTAACAGCACATCAATTTTTCATTGTGTCTTGGTTTCTTTACAAAGAAAAATGTGCAGGTTCCAAGAGGGACACTGACAAAGTTGTAAAAGCTCCTCACTACACGAATAAAGCTGTGAATTTGAACTTTGCTTCGGGATTGCCCTGAGAGCCACCCACTATTAATGCAGTTACAAATTGATACCTCAGTCACCGTGAGTGACTGAGTGAAAGAGCTTGGCAAGAATCTTCAGGAAAGCGGGCAAGCACAAATAAAAGCATTCCAATTCCAGCCACCTGACTCAGGATGAATCTCTGAGTCTTGTGAAAAACTCTGAAGTTGACATACTTTCAAAACACCATTAAAGGTGTTTATTTAAATCAGTAGCTTAAGACTGGTGACAAAGGGTTTGAAGGATTTTTCTTTTATTTCTGAGCACACCTAGACATTCAGTTCTGTGAGTTGCAGACAAGTTGTTGCCATACGCAAATAATTCTGAAGAATGTTATAACTAGACTGCAGCAGACAAAAAACTGGTCTACCTTGATTTGAAAGAGCAAAATGTTACTAATAAACCAACACCACGAGTCTTAATGTGAGGTTATTCAGCCCTTAATTCGCTTTGGTTCCAGATGAGGTCTGCAGAAAGAGTCAAGAAGTGGACAAGGACACTCTGTTACACAGTCCTAGGGTTGTTTGGACTGCATATAGCTTAAAGGAAACTTGATCATGCAATTGCAACTTCTTCCCACAGTCAGTGCATTAAAAAAGATAATTTAAGAGGGATCTCATTTTAATCATGGTTTCATTTCCTGCCCATAGGGTTGAGTGAATGTAGAGATGAAAATCCCCCTCCTAGGAGAAGTATTCTTTTATCTGTTTAAGGTAGTATTTTGACTCTGTTTCACTGCCAGTCTGGTGCCAAGATTGTCAAGGTTGTCTGTTCACTTTAAATAAACAAATAAATAAACAAGTATATACACCAACAGCTGATCTGAATCAAAATGTCAGCTACAATCTACAAAGATACCAGAGGAAGCAGGTTCTCCCAGTGGCTATATTAAGAGAATCTGGTTCATAAGAACTAGTATGAAATAATCAGCATAAAATATCTCATGAAGTGGAATTATCTAATGATGCATAAAATAGTTATTCTGTCCTATCAGAAGTCCTCTTTAGCCTAAATTTGTCTCAGAGGGCTGAACAGCTCTTGTTTAATATGCACAGATAAAGTAACTTTGTGCATACTCAGAAGGTGCCCGCTGACATCAGCACAGCACATTATAGAAGGTTTTCCATCCCTCACTTGGACAATTTGTAGTATCATATGATGAAGGTAATACATACTACAAGCACTTGGATTTTCTATTTAGGATGAAACTGGACACATTATTTTGGACTGCCATATTCATACCTAGATTATGCTTCATTTCTGAGAGTTCCTGTTGATGTAACCATTGAAGTTTTTCTATCTCAATCCTCAAACGACGAATCTAAATTTAAAAAAAAATTAATAGTCAGTAATATAAACAGGGTGCAGTGTAGAATACATAACTACAATACAGAAAAACATGCCCAAAGCAAAGAGCCTGATCATCACCTACATCAAGGTTCCTTCATATTAACATGAGGACAAGACCATAGTAAACCCCAAACCAAAGTCTGAATTATTAAATTTGCTCTTGCTTCCTCTGAAATTAGCTGAGTCTCAAATTCCTCTGATTGGAATCAAAAACCTATTCCTCAGTTTTGTTATTATTTGTTAGTATGACATTTCATTTATTTTCTTTTTAACTAGATGAGTTTTAGGAAAGCAAATTATTCGTTCACTGTGGATTGGGACTGCAAATACCCATGATCAAAATTGTGACTTCCTTATTTTGGTTAAAAGAAGCAAACTACTCTGAGCTTTATTTGTTCACATTCATAATTAGCTTACACTGTTCAATCTGCTTTTTCCAAGCTTAAAGAAAACACTTAAAAGATACTAAGATACTTAAAAGATACCTTTGAAGACAATTAAAAGCTATGTATAACATTTCATAAAAAATGCAAAGCCTGTTAAAGTGTTTTTTTAAAGTATTAAAAAGTTTGGTCATAACCACGTAACTGGAATAAGCTACTGCACTGGAAGTAAATTAAATCTTCCTCTGGTGAACAAATACATGGTTTAAAAAAATGATACTTTCATAAAACCTCCTCCATTTCTGATTTTAAACAAGGTGACATAAAACTAAATCCTCAAAAGAAGCTTTAAGGATCTGGGCTAGAGCCCATGTGATATTTTTTTGATGTTTTTCTCCACCACTCTAATCATTACTTCTGAAACAGCAAAGAAATTAGGATCTCTAGACAGTCTCAATACATCATACTTTGTATGTATAGTTGTTATTTTAAATATAAAAATACCTTTTGCAACTTTCAAAGTTAAAGTACAAACAGTATTATTTTTTAAATCTTACACTAACCTCAGCTATTGTACTTCCAGTAGTATTTTTTGAAAGATCATTATATATTTCGGTCATTGTTCCTTTGATGGCATCCATCATCTGAAAGAAAAAATAAATTTTAAAAATTATTTTTTAAATAGATACCGACACTTTCACTTCCTTTCAGTCACTCTAATGTGTATGTATAATACTATCAACAGTGCCCCATAGCTCTGTTTATCTGGGTTTACTTTTAGAGGACTATTTAGAAGGCAGAACAAAGCACTTTTGATCAGGACTCTGAATTTTAAGTGTCCTGAACTGGTGAACTGCTTGGCCTTCTACTTTTCCAAGAAACTGCCATTGATATAAATTACAAAAAAACCCCAAACTCCAACACCACGAGTTTGAAGAAGCAGCACACACACACAAAAAGACATTTACTGACACTGCTGACTACTGACAATCCCATCAAGACCATATGGTTGAGTGAGAACACTGCAAGACAAGCAAGATTAATTCTGATGTTTTTAATGCCTGGGTATTCAACTTTATTTCCTTATAGGGTACTCATGTTGATTTTTTGATTGGAAGATCTAAGAGAGTATAAGAAAAGCTAATGTCCCATCCCTCACTGTCACTATTATGATACCAGTATTACACCACATCTTCTCTTTAACAACTTAGGTTCTGTTTTAATACATGAATACGCACCTATGACAAGCTGCCATCTGATGAAGCTATACAGTGTTTTACAACAAAAGTACATTTTGGTATACGTACTACTGGACACAGAAGAAGAAATATTAATGTTTACTGTAAATATGATGCTGAGGGGATATCTAGACCTTTAGAGAAAACACAGAAAATGGTCCAAACCACAGCGCAATGTAATTAAGAAGCAGCAATGGGGGAACATGAGAAGGAAAGGGTCTAAAGTGTCTGAGCAGCTGAAGCTTATCACACAGACGCTCTGGCTTGGAATGGAGCATTCAGCCAGCTCTAAAAAGATGGTTCAGCACTCTGGTCAAAATCTACCTGTTCCTACCTAGTGGAATGAATTTGCAACATATGACAACGTGAAAATAAAGTTATTTCAGAATCAGCAATGTCAAAAAGTGGAAGTTCACTTCAAAGTAAAATTTCAAGAAAACCTTGCTCAACAACTTACTTTGCTAGTATATTTAGCAATATCTGCAGCCACATCAGCGGAAGCTGTTGCAATTGGCAAGTCTGTATTAACTGAGGAGGAAAGTGTACTTGCAGATCCAGAACTGGTAACCATAGAAATAGGTTGAGTACTTGTAACCAAGGTTATAGTAGATGTGGAAGTGCTCTGGGTGATCTCTTTTTGCTGCACAGCTAAGAAAAGAGAACATACAGCGGATCAATCACATAAACAATTATGAAAATAAAAAAGCAAACTCCTAACTTTGTCTAACTTAAATGGGTGCACCTAACCATTTCAAAGACTTAACATTATTTATACAATGGTGCCATTTAATCAATAAATTATACAGTGCCCAGCCACTGAACTTGTACATAATTGTAAGGCTTAAAGGTAGTGAAGCAAATACATCTTTGAAACTTATTATTTTAACTGGCCAATGCAAAAGTCTCCCTCAAATGTGTATTCCTCCCACTTGGGGACTTTTCCATCCCACTTCCTAGGAATTCACTTCCTAACTTCTCAATTTCGAGAACTCCCAACTAATATCATACATATGACCCTAAGTTAGACTTTGACAATTTCTTTTGCCATAATTTTGGAACATATTACTCAATTTTTCTTTTTGCTTTGAAACAAGGTTTAGTGAGTCACTGTTGAAGAAAGCCTACTCTACTAATACTGTGTTACTCCCATTTCTTTGTTATTAATACTACTAATTCTTAGTAGTGTTGCAACATTTATATCTATCTATCTATCTATCTATCTATCTATCTATCTATCTATCTATCTATCTATATCCAGATCAACATTAGCCTTTGGTTGGCTGCAAAGCAAGGAATGCAACATTACATTAACTCCCTAAAGCAAAGAAGTTATTCATAGTATTAATTCAAACAGGGTAAGAAAAGTTCTCTCATCTTTGGTTAGTATTTCAAATAATCTTAAAGTGGGTAATTAAATGAGAGTACAAATCAAAATGCAAAGACTCTCACTTTCTTCATCCCTAATGACTTATCTGCCTAAATTTTAAAAAACACGTCTTTGTTTTAGGACAATACTTTAAAATCTATTTTTAATGATTCATACTATAAAAGATGTCTTCATTGACAATATCCTCAAAACAGGAATTACTCAAATAGAGGTTATACATATTTATCTCTAAGCACTATATTTTTATTGATGACAATTCAGCATATAAGAAATCTACAGACTTTATAGTTTTCATTTGGAATATTTCTAGAATATAATATTTAAGATGGAACATTGCTATAATGTGCTCAAAAGTAAACATATTGCTAAAACATAGGCTGAACATTTAAAGTTCAGCCATATTATTAACTCTTATAAAGTATGATTCTATTAAAAATAAGACTTCGACAAGTTTCATGTTTATTTTTCTCACTGAGTATTTCTATATCAAATGTGTGCAGTCTGCAAGTAGAAAGATACTGCTTCTTCAACACTTCTTAAATGACAGTCACAAAAGCAGTTTTGGACCAGAGAAAAGTGCCTCTGGTAAACATTTGTATGTGACCCATTACTTAAACCTCTCTTCTGTATGAAATTCCTTGGCTTGCCAGCAGTGTTAGCAGAATGGAGAATATCTATTCATGAGGCAAATCAGTAACCAGTTCAGTTTAACTTGAAATGACAAATGAAGGTAGATTTCCAGAAAGGTGCTGTTGTGTGACGTGAAGCAACAGAAGCATGGGGTTATATCCATGTGCCTACTACTAGTGAAATCTCTGGCAAAGAACTGCTAAGACAGGAGTTGTGAAAACATTCTAAAATGCTGTGGCTGTTTGCTCAGTAAACTAGCATCCAAGTCTTGTTAAGAGTTAAGCAACAAGGATTTCAAAGACAAATGTAGCCTGGGTAATTTCATTGCTGTCAAATTATGAAAAACTGTATAGATCAGCTTCTTGTCAGATAAAACTGGATCCAGTTTGTAGATATTGAGGTGACAGTGGTAACCATGCAAGTGGAATAGTTAATGGTTTTACCAAATAATTCAGAAAATAATCCAGTTCACTCTCCCAAATCTGTGATGGCTAATAATGGCAAAAATATTTATACAGATACACACACAAAATTTTTGTCATTAAAATAAAGAGACATGACTCTAAATACACACCAGAAAGAGCAGGTATGGTGAGTAAGTTGTTGTATTTTAAAGCCACTTATCAGAGTAGAACCACACTTTGAGATTTTGTTTATATGGAAGAACTCCTGGTTGGGCAGCCTTGGAGCACTGAGATCACTACTGGGGAATTATGGCATCACAGGCACATTGAGTTAGAAAGTGTATACCTTTAACTGCTTGTCTTGTCTGATATCTTGTCCCTTGAGAGGACTGAGGTTGCTGTGACTGAGACTGCTGGCTCTGCTGCTGTTGCTGCTGTCTCTGCACCTTCTGCATGTGCCATTTCTGAGAAGATGTCTGAAATTTATTTGAAGAATTCCACACTACACGCTGCACAGCAGGGGCAGTTTCCTTAGGCAGCAGAGGCCTCTGCTTTTTCACAGGGCTTCCAGTGGCTGCAGATGGAGCACTAACAGTAGAAGAAGCACTAGTAGTTGCTGTCACACCAGCTGGCGGAGTCTGGGCTGCAGAGCGGGTAAGTACTGGAGTTTCTGGTAGAGCCTGGGTGCCTGCACTGGAGGAAGGTGGAGTTTTACCTACAACTAAACAAACATAAAATGTCATGCCAGCTTTTCACCAACACATCCGTTTCATAATTTTCCATATAATATTTGGAAGAGCCATATGCAACTTCCAGTCTACTTTGAATTCTTTTCCTCAAAAAGTAACTGATACTCTATAAGTAAACTCATTTCAGTCTCGTTGAAGTTGGTGGCAACTCAGAAGCTCCAGTCATTAAACAAAAAAAGTACAAAACCCAGAAAAACGAGCCTGACCTCCTTCAGAAGACAGGTGAGATGTTAGCATTTGTTAGGATGTTTCTGAGTTACCACTTACACCTGTCATCACAAATTCTTTCAGGAAAAAAGTACCTTCAAAAGGAACAATGACCAAACAGTAACTGAAGGAACAGCATACAATAAACTTTCTGAACAAAGGTGAACTGGCACTGACAACCAAATAACATATACAGTCTACTTAACATATCTATGTTTACTCGAAAATCTTACAGAGTTTATAGTTGACTGTTCCACATATCAGATCAATTTAGGAACTGGATGGTTCTTCCAAAGCTGTGGCCAGAAAAACATGTCTGAATGCACTGACAGGTTTCTGGAAAGGGGGCAAAGACCTTCAGATGTGCATGCATCAGATCTCTCTTCTGGACCATTTTAATCTGATAGCCACAAGTTAAGGGGG